TTTCCTTATATGTGTAATGAGTTTTAAAATAAATGTGTATTATTTAAAAATATAAAAAGTCAACCGATTATATATTATTCTATAATTTTTTTAGTTTTATGCTACTATGATTTTTAAATCAGGCATTCACTATTATTGATTTTATATTTCCTACATTATAGTCCTTGTTTTGATCAGTACAAAGATCTGTAGAGATCTTTGTAGGTTTGTCCAGATCCATGGGACATTTCAACACTGGATGCAAAGCAAAAGCTAATGGAATTGTATTTGCCAAGACAGCAGGTATATATGGTATCAGAGTCCAGAAAAGTTACTTTTCCAGAATACAAAATTAATCCCCAAATCTGTCAGGAAACTGGAAGTTATAGTCCAAGTAAGTAGCTTTTCCAAACTCTGAATCATAGTGGTACTGTATTACTGTATATTCACTGAAGCTGCTGTTGGGCATCCCTGCATCAACTTGGCCAAAAATCCAACTGGACAAAATTTCTTCCCCAAGGTCTGTTTTGCTTATGCGGTACAGTATTCTATCCCTCATTTCAAAACTTGCTTCTCCCTTTTGCATAGTTCCTTCCGGAACTGCCTTTAGGCAGATCTCCTCTGGTCTCATTTCATCTTGTTTCCAGTTTCTCAGTTGATCCCTGGACATGTTTAACATTTCTTCCTCTAACATACGATTCTCAACTTCCCCGTTGTGCGCCTCGGCTATTGTTTGCGTCAGTTCTTCCACTCTTGGCCATCTCTTCCTAATAGCATCTCTCTTCCTAACCCGGGCACCACCCCAACTTCCATTTCTCTCATCTGGTCTTCTATTTCAATTTGGGCTTGCACCACCCCATAAGATTTTACATCCCTGTGAACACATTTGATAAACATCTGTTCAGGTAGCCTGTCCCCTGGCAAGTCTCGTATAAGGGTCTTGCTACACACAGTATCAACGAGAGCCCTTTTCCATGCTCCATTCACTTTCACTTTGACTACCCAGCCCGGATGATCCTCTGTACCAACCTTGGCCATGAGGGCATATATGTTTGCCCACACGCATTTCTTGGTTGAGCAGTATTTTTAATACACCCAAACTGCCCGCAACCATAACACACCACCATACACTATTTTGGGGTGGTCCATGTTGCTGCTTGTCATGCTTGGCTGGGTTCCTTCGTTATCATGGGTCTCGGCATTTTGCTACCTGTGGGTTTGACAAACTATTCGGTCTGGTCGTGTCTTCTTGTATGCTTGGGTGTTCAGTCCTCTCACATTCGCGCTCCCTGCTGCTTCTGCCACCTTGTCTCTGCCTTTCGGTTTTTCCATCTGCGTCATTCCTCTGTTAAACCACGGCTCTTCTGCTCCTAAATAGTCCTCCAGCAAAGTTACAGTAGCAGATACGTGTTGTTTCAGCAGATGTGTGTTGTTTCAAAACAGGTGTGGGATTTATTGGAGGATTAACAATAAAAAAGTGTCTGGAACATGATTACAAGTCCTTTCTCCTTCTGCCAACTGGTCTGGATGAGGCTTCCATTCATCAAACAAGAACGGGTTTCTATAACTGCTGCCATATGGTCCCTGGAGATCAATTGAGACCCCAGTCCTTTACTGTCTGCCTCATCGCGCCTTCCAGCGAGGGCATGGTCTCCTCATCCAGATCGTCATCCCACAAGATCCGTCTGTCGGGGTCTCGATTCTCCCAGGGTCTTCCCTGTAGCACCTTCTCTTCATCTCCATTCCAACCTTTCTCACCTTTCTCTCTCCACTTGCTCCTTTTCCTCTCTCAATCTCCTTCTCCACTCCCTCGCCTCTGTTTCCCCCAATAAGAGGGTTTAGGGGAAAATATCTACTCTTTTCCTATAATCTGCCTCCTCCTTTGACACTCTCAATCTCTCCCATAATCCAATCCACGGATCCTGCACCCACACCCATTCCCAACCGGGCGGTAACTACTCTTCCCTCCTCTCTACTTCCCCCGCTCCTGCTTCAAACTCCCCCCTCCTCTTCCTTTCCCTTCCTGCCTTTTCTCCGTGAACCTCCCCTATCGTCACTTTCTGTATATCTTCCATCAGCTTGTCTACCACTGTCTCCCGCGGAGATTCTACTGAAGGTTCAGGTATGGGTTTGGGGTCCACTTCCTTATTTCTGTTGTTGAGGATGGACGGCTCTCCAGCAAGTGGGGTATCCCTCTCACCCTCTGTCTCACACAGTCAAACAGCAGTTTTTCCATTCCTGTTCCTTTCCATTCATGTAACTGGTTGTGCAACAAGCTGCACACCCGAATTTGCAGGCAGTAGAAAATTAGTCACACAAAGCTGAGCTTGTAGGTTATTTTATGTGATCACCCTTACACAAACAGGATTTCGGCCTTTTTTAGGGTGAGGTAGGGAAAGCAGCACAATCTATCTCCGAATGCTTCTGCTTAGATAAGACTGCAAGAAACCAACAGTGCACATATGGCAACATATTCCAACTTCCTGATAATAATTCTCCAGCTGCTTGCATAATGATATACCACTTTTTACACTTCATATATATATGTAAGGGCCTCCCAATGATCCTCTAAGCTAACTCTGATGCAAAGTGAATTCATACTAACAGCCAGTGCTACTGCAAATAATAGCGGGTAAATTAATCCTATTTAGGCAATGAGGGAATACATTCCTTTAGATCACAAGCATATAAGAAGAGGCCCACTGATCACACCAATGTTCTATCTATTCCAACACTGTTTTCCATAGCAGTCAACCAGATACTTCTGGAACCACATGAGCAGGATACATGAGCAGGCTGTGAAGGCAACAGCCCTCTCCTACTCTTGGTGGGAGGAAGTTGCATATGGAGAAGGCTAAAAAGAGCAAAGACCAGTGATGGAAAGCAACCAAAACAGAGGAGAACAACTTATTAAAAGATGGGAGAAATTCAACAAAAATTACGTTGTTCAGTTGTTTAGACCCTAAACAGATCTAGAGATATCTGTCTCTGTAACTAATATTTAATACTTCATTTATTCAAAATTGTTATTAAGCAGATCTTTTTCTGGAGCCCTCTTGCTTATTCTGCTCAATGTGGTTCCCATCTTCAGGTTCCAAACGCTACCTTAGTATGCAACTATCAGCAAACAGGCGAATTAATGGCAAAAAGGTATTGTTGTTAAACTGAATTATTTTAAAAAAATATTGACAATTATTTCAACAACACTCGAGTATGTCACCTTTAAGAAATAAATATCAGAGAGGTACAGTAATAATAATGATATTTTTTGAACTGCAGAGCTGGAAGAAACCCTATGGATCTTTACATTTAGCCCTTGTCAGTGAGGAACAGCGGGGGAATTGAACATTCAGCTCTGACTGCTGAACTATTACTATTCAGCAATTCTACCAAAGAAATAGAAAAAACAGTCTTGCCATTAACATGTTTCTTGTCTCTCATTTCTGTGTGAAGCTGAGGAATACTGAACATTTCTCTGGCCTGGAAAAAAATTTACATTATTTGACATGGAAAAAGATGCAACTGATACACTGTACCAGCTGAATTTCTGCCTGTCTACCAGTTATCAAAGAGACAATTTATGGAAACCAAAACAAATAAGCAGGGAGGCAAAAAAAAATCTACCATTAGGCAGAATGATGTAATTGCTTTAGGTGGTAGATTTGTGGGGGTCACAAAAATCCAGAAGACTGCTGTTAGTGTATTTTTCTTTTTATGGAGAGAGAGAGAAAGGTTCCTGTGGGATTTCCTTCAGGGGCCAAAATAAAACGGGCACAATTCGGCAGTTCTACTTTTTTGGACTGCAACTCCCAGAACCCCTGCACTCAGCGTGACTTCCGACCCGCTGGAGGAGTTCTGAGGGTTGTATTACCCTGACTGAAAAAATAAGTTTTCTAAACTCCAGCCTTAAATACTTGTCACGAGTAAGATAAGAAGGGATACTGTACTCGGCCTCCTCAGGTAATCAAATGCCTCTGGCCGGCAGCGCCTCGCTTGGCAGAGGCCGGGCCGAGCCAGGGGTCTGCAGTGGTCGCCACCGCCCGCCAGGTGGCGAGAGGTCCCTCCAGTTGCGCGTCACATGAGCCACGGATCGCTGAAACTCGTCCTAGAATGACCCCGCCAAGCTCTTCTTGCATCTGTTCCGAGCGCCTAATAGGAGAAGCTGCAGCGTTATGGCGCCTCCCGCCCTTGTAGGAGTAGGAGTCGCCGCCGCCGCCGCCGGACCAGGTGCAGGCAAAGGTTAGCGGTTCTTCGGGCAAGGTCTGCTAATTGCAGCGGTGCGCGTGTGCAGCTGCCGCCGCCGCCGCCTACCACCACCCACCGTAGAGAACCGAGCGAGCCAGGCAGACTAGTTCTCCCTTGGTACGTAGCGGCCGCCGCCTACCACCACCCACCGTAGAGAACCGAGCGAGCCAGGCAGACTAGTTCTCCCTTGGGAAGGGTGGAGAGTGAAAGCTCCACCCTTCGCAAGCACGGGACGATGAAGCAATTGTGGGTGGTCGCTCTCGCCACAAGCTA